AAAGCTGTGTGTACGCTGTCCCCTATAATGTGACTGCCTCATTCCCTTGATATTGCCAGACTTACGTCTCCTCTACCTGCCAACAATAGTACTCTTAGTTCTTCAAATGGACCAATTTTCCTACCTCTGTGGAAAAACATAAAGCAAATTTGATAAGATAAATTTGGTTTGATAACTTGATGAGGCAAAATTGAGAAGATTATGGAAATAAAGAAGGGACTATGGGAGAATAGAGACAGATTTGAATAATTCAAGCTTTGGAGATCCTTGGGAGACTGGAAAGGGTGATGTTCTGAGAAAAATCTGGTGTAAAAGATTAGCTACCCTAGGCAGAAGGTGCCTAGAGACAGAAGAAAGAGTCAGACAGATCTGGGAATACAGAGTGTAATATTTATTGGGGATTTATAGACAGAGCATGGTCAAAGGTGGTAGAGACTGGTGGGTGTCCATGACTTGGTATGAGGGAAGGAGCTTATGTGGTAGTTGGGCAAGCATGACTTCCTCCAAGCTGGAACTTAACCTGGTTTATCTGAAGCTAACAGCAAAGATGTCAGGTACATTCCTTGTGCGACAGGGCAGGGTTTGATCCTAAAGCTCCACCTATAAGTCTAGTGGTTCTGTTGACCTGTTGTATTTTTGGACCTATGTGAGAAAAACAGCGTTACTCAGCATTACTCAGAGCATTCATGGTTATAACTCAAGACAGCTGTGTCCAGGTCATACTTGATCCCTAAAGGTGAGATAGATGGTATTATGAATTGAATTGTGTTCCCTATAAATTCATATGTTGAAGTACCAATCCCCAGGACTTCAAAATGTGAGTGTATTTGGAGGTAAGATCTTTATAGAGGTAGTTAGGTTGAAAAGGGTTCAGATGTATAGGCCCTAATCAAATATGACTGAGTCCTTATAAGAAGGGGTTAGGAAATAGACAGATGCAGGAAGACAATATGAAGACACAGAGAATATGGCCATTTACAAGCCAAGGAAAGAGACCTCTGATGACACCAACCCTGCCAGCACTTTGATCTCAGACTTCCAGCCTCTACAACTGTGAGGAAATAAATTTCTGTTGTTTAAGCCACCCAGCCCATAGCACATTGTTATGACGGCCCTCACAAACTACTACAGATGGAGCAGGAAGGTGCTCTGGAAGCAGAGTGAGCTTAAAGCTGAGGAGCAGCAAAAATGAAATGCAGTGTATTGTGCCTGTGATCTTGCATCTGGGTTGCAGCTACCAGGTGACAGCTGAAAGTTTGACTGGTTTTCAGATTGTGTTGAAAATTTGCCTGATAGATGAGTTCACCATATTCTAGTGTGGAAAGGAGTTTCTGTTGTTTTGTTTCGTCTTATGATGAGAAGCACCTTCAAGAGAAGAAAGCTGCTTGGTACCAGGACTGAACTAATGTCTGAAAGCCTGGGTCATTTGTCGACAGGGAGGGGAGGATTTCTCCTGCACCCGTGCTATGAGCTACTAGCAATCAAGTGGATATTGGAGACCCAGCCGGTACAAGAAACAATGGGGACAGAGGTTCTCTTGCTGCTTTTGTTTTATGTTACTGTTGTAGACATGTGGGGATCACAGAGCTCTTTCGTCCTTTTTACCTTGGGTTGGTTGAAGTGTCAACATTCCCTTTAATTTTTCCTTCCCTCCTCCCCTCCCTCCATGCCTCCCTTGCTCCCTTCCTCTCTCGCTCTCTCCCTCTCTTCCTTCCTCCCTTCTTTCCTCTTTCTCTCTTTTTTTTTCCTTCTGTTAGAGGGTCTCACTCAAGGTACTATATTACATACAGTTGCTGCTACCATCTCCTTAGGCCCTTCTCTTTTTTTTCCCCTCCAAAGCTGCATTTATTTATTTATTTCCCAGTTCAGCACCAATGAAAGTGAAAGAACTGCTTATGAATATGCTTCTACTGAGTGCACATGTTTCTGGTGGGGTAATTTAAACAGAAACAAAAGGCTCACCAGTTTACTAATGGAAAGACAGTATCCCTGGGTTTTTTTCAAAAGTGAATTATCAGGACTGCGCTAGAAATCATGTTCCTAAGTTTCAGTATCACAGTACTTAGCCTTCTTCCTCCATCTTTCCTCTTCTAAGCTACCCCACAGTAACTTTAGTGTCACAGGTGTGTTATTAAAACTCAATGGCAGACATGCTTCAAATTTAAATGAAGGATATGAGCAATGAGACTTTGCACACTACAAAGGGTCATGTAGTTGCAAAGTACAAATAAGTTGAAGGCAGCTCAGAGAAATGCACAGAACTGTCCAAGATAATCTATCAAGAGATTCTTTTGGAAAGAACTCTATCTGGTTAAACTCAGTTTTCTGAATTCCTCAGGCAATAAATAGAAATTTCCCTATAGTAGCAGAATGGACCAATAAATTGTAAAATTTAATTTTTATTCTTAGCTTCAACCTAACATACCATCATCACTGTCCAGTACTTTCTCTACAGGAAATCCATGTGGTCAATAAGCTATAATACATTTTACAATGGAAATTAATGAACCCATTTAATCATGTGCCATCTGCCATTTGTAGAAATTATCTTGTTATTATGAGAGCTCTTTGCTAAATACTAAGTGAATTGCTTATATTCTTGATTACTACTTTTTCAGTCACTTCTAACAACGCTCTGAGCATGCTATCATTATATTTTTAAATTACAGAATATCAGAGATAATTATATTGATACCTTTTCTCTGAAGAAAGAACAATAAATTTGAAAACATTAAAACAGATTTTTTTCTGTGTATTTGGTTAAGAGAATTATAACCATATCATATGGACCCTTTTATATAAATTTTCCTATTTGACCTCTTACCTACCTAACAGATAATATGACAATGCAGTTAATTTAACTGAAAGACTTCTCAACTGTTTTCTTTAAAAAGTAGCAAGATCTGTAAATGGTCACGCAGCTAAGAAATCTTCTTGTCCATGATATTTTCTCAGGCTTCCCTTATTCTTGATGACCTTGACAGCTTTGAGGAGTTCTGGTCAGGGATTTTGTAGAATGTCCCCTACTGAGATTTTTTTGGTGTTTTTCTTATGATTAGATTGTGGTTATGGGTTATTGGGAGGAAGAGCACAGAGATAAAATGCCATTTTTGTCATATATCAAGGACACCTACTGTCAACACAATGATGAATTACTACTGATGTAGACTTTGATCAGATGGTTTCTAGGTTCCTCCACTCTAAAGTCATTCTTTTGCCCCTTTTCCATTCTGCATTTTCTTAAAGTCACCATGCATAGCACACACTGAAGGAATGGGTACCTTCAACTTTTTAAAACACACCAAAAAATGTAAACCTTTTTTTTGAAGAGAGCAGGAGTGAATGATGATGTTGTCAAAGGGTGGCAAAAAAACCCCCCAAAAACAAAGCCATGCTTTTTGGTTTATTGATGTTTTATTTCTGAAAAAAATACTTTATAATACTATGATGAGAAGTAAAAAAATCATCAGTTTGAACTCTATAGTCATGAAATGAAAATATATTTAAGCTCTGGGTCTAGACCTTTTTTGCTGAGTTCAGGAAAGTAGTCAGTCTTATCTGTTCCACTGGGGGACTTATAATTTTTTTTTTGGAGGTACTGGGGCTTGAACTCAGACTTCATAGGCTTTGTGGCAGGCACTCTAGCACTTCAGCAACTCCACCAGCCCTGTTCCAATTGGACTTCTGTGCTACTCTTGCAGCCAGAGAAGAAATACTAAGATTAGTCAGTCTTTTATTTTTAGTTGAGAAGTTGTAGAGTATTGTTTTCTTAAATGCAGTGCCTTGACCGTTAATGATTACTGGGCAGTTACAGTCCACCTGCGTTTTCAGACTGGCTTTGGTTATATTCTTCTCTAGGTTACTGTTTCTATTATTGATTTTATTACCACTATCTCGTGGTTAATATTATAGTCTCAAATTGTATGTGGGCAAATTCAGCTGTGGAAAAATAAAAATTTTGGCAATTTTCATGGTAATTAAAAATGTTTTAGTATTGATGCAAAACGAATAATGATTGAATTTTAGTTACATCTTTTTGGATTTGAAACTAGTTTTTAAATGGGTCAATGTTTTAAGGTGGTAAGTGACTATACCAATTAAAAGCTACAATAACAAAGATAGTATTCCAGGCAGAAGCTTTACTTGGTTACTATAACTGAGAAACTCAGTGGCAATTTGATTTTTAATGAGGGAATTGAATTTGTCTTCTTGCAAGTGTTTATCAGTGCTGTAGGAGCAAGCGCATATTCTAGATAAACTTGAAAGCTACAAAGCTTTGTGAAGTTAGGAGTGAGGGACTCCTCTGAGCATTGTTTGTCATTTCTTCATAGATAAAATTTTATCTCTAGTTCAGGAAATGGCCTTCTTTTAGAGACTTACATCAGCATTCATTATTTTACCGTGGCTTAAAAAACACAGCATTTCTTTAAATAGAATGTTCTCTCTGAATATTCTTGAAATAATTTACCAGATTTTGAGACTGACTTTCTGTATTTCCTGATGGAAATACTGGGTGATTGGTTATATAGTAGTAATCCACTCATTCACCCTTCCTCCCTTCCTTCTTTCTTCTTCTCTTCCCTTCTTTTTTCTTCTCCTTTTTTTGGCCATGCTGGGAATGAAATCCAGGGCCTCTCAGGCATACTGTACAAACCCTCCACCACTGAGCCACATTACCAGGCTCCATTTCCCTCACTCTGTACTCATTTTTTGAATGAGTTCAAGTATTTATGCCAGAGCTGGAATTTTGTTCCATTGATATCTAGAGGACATTTAAGGAAAGATAATCAAGTCAATGTGAAATCTTTGGGGCTCCCTACCTGTGCATCTCCTGAAGGAAGGAATTCCTACAGAGAGTTCTTTTGAGGCAGCAGCCTGTGTCTATTTGTGATCTCGTTGCCTATGATACCATGTAGATACAGTGGAGATGGAGGTATGTCTTTGCTTGTTTGGACAGAAGTACATTGAGTGATGTGATCTATGTGTTTGTTATCTACCAGCTTCATCTGATCCACTGGAACTCCACTCTGTTTGGCAGTATTGATGAGGCTGTGGGGAAGCCTCATGGAATCGCCATCATTGCTTTGTTTGTTCAGGTAAATCATTTACTATAGTTGTTGTATTGCACAAGAGATGCTTATTTCTAAGTTGTTTTGTAAAATATTTTTTATTCACTCTCAATTTTATTACTTAGAGATGAAATTAAACACATACAGAGAATACTGGTAATTTAAAAATAAAGAATTTGACTTAAAAATATAGAATTTAAAAATATAGAACTTGAACTTTGTAGTTCTTGAGAGTTCAGCCATATTTCTGAGAGAGAATAGTTCATTTATTTATTAGAGATTTTCTTCAGAGTTGGCATTCAGGGTCTTTGGAGAAATGATTTAGAAAATGTCTCCTGAAGGCAGAGATCATTTCATTTATGAAAAAGAATTTCAGAAATGTTTTCAGACCCTGGCTTATGGTAAAATCTAAGAAAAATAATATAATCATGTAGTGGATTACTTTATCGCTTTGTTATTAATAATTTTCACCTGAAGATGATTTGAAATGCCTTATAGAAAGCACTGATAAAATAAGAGTGACAAAGACCATAGCAGATTTAGCTAATATAAAATTGAGATTTGAGCTCCATAGTGGGCAAAGAATATTATCTACTCCTAGCCAAACATACAAAATTGAAAGAGACTAAAGGAAATGAAAGAGATCCTGGAATTTTTATCCCACTCCTCCTTCCAGTCTTGCAGAAGAGAAATAAGACCCAGAGAGGCCAAGTAATTGTTTACTGCCACACAGACAGACAATACTGCCAGTCAGTACCAAAAACCAGAACTCTAACTCTGCATGGTTACAGGTTGCCTCTTGGATTAGAGTAGTGATATTAACATAGTGGTCATAGTTACTTAATTTTCTAAAGAGTTGAGCATCACTCTCTTTTAATATGCTTTTTGTGGCATATATATCAAGAATGTTATTAATTATAACAACTTCCTATTGCATTTCTAAAGTTTTTCTTCATTGAGGCTTAAAAATAGTCATCTAGTTTTATCCTCTTAATATTTTGAAACCAGAGTCTTGAAAGTATGACCTATGCCATAGAATTTAACAGCAAATCCTTAATTTTAAAATGAATCTATTCATGAGTTTTTAATAGGCATGGCCCTATTTTATAGCTATATTATATAAATAGATAAGAATTACAGAATATTGATGAAAGTATTTTTAGTTTTACACTCTGGTAATTTTATTAAAAAAATAATTTTAGCTAGGTAGGTGGTGCATGCCTACAAACACAGATACTCAGGAGGTAGAGGAGGAGGACCTCAAGTTTGAGGGTAGCACAGGAAAAGTCAGTGAAATGCAATCTCAAAAACAAAATGCAAGTTGGGTGCTGGTGGCTCATCCCTGCAATCTAAGTAATTTATGAGGCTGATATTGGAAGGATCTTGGTTCCAGGCCAGCTCCGGCAAAAAATTAATGAAATCCCATCTCAACCAATAGTTAATAGTCCATAGAGCCCAAGATTGAAGACCCCGCATTTAGAGCAGTATTTGAAGGAGCAAGATGGCAGGCAAGGGAAAGTCTTCAGACCAAGCACACTGTTCTTCCATAAGTTTGCTGGGAGGTTAACACTGAGTTTACTGTGTGAAAATATCTTTCTCAGGAGAGAATAAGGTTACCAAAACTATGAGAACCAAATTTTATGAAGAAAGGACTGAGGCAGTGTCAGGTTGACACTTGGGCTAGAGCAGTGGAAGTGGGAGGAGGAAGTTGCTGGCAGTGTATGAGGACTTGCCTTCCAAGAAGCATGACTGGAGGAAGGAAGGACAGAAGGGGCTATAATTAATGGTGGTTTTAAAGTATGAGATCTTATGGTTCTATTCTGAGCAAGAAGAGATATACAGACATGGAATTAAAAATATTGAAAAGAGAAGAGATAGCTGATGTGGAAAAGTCCTGGAGGAGAAGGGAGGCACATGGGATGGAGGAACTTACATTGGTGGACTAACTTAGATAGGGGGCGACCTACCTTTTCTCCAAAACAGAGAGCCAGGAGGAAAGGGACCAATTTAGTGGGGAGGAAGGCAGTAAATTAGGGGATTTCATGCCTGATAGCCTTTATTATCTCTGAGACATACAAAGCAAAATTGTTTATAAAGTGAGTGAAATGTGGATGCAGTGTTGGGCTTTGAAGCAGCTCAGAAGGGGATGAGAATAGATGTGACAGTCAGGGAGGGAGATTCACTTATAGCTAGACCACAGGGATTGTATGGGACAGAGTATTGTGGGTTGTTCTCTTCCAGGTGTAGGGCATCCTAGCAAATTGTTGTGTGATCCATTGCACAGCACATTATTTGGGAGCATAAAGGGATGGAAGAGTTGAGAGTGGTGAAAGCTATGCCATTTAGTCTAGTGAGGTTAAAGAAGGAGATGAAGCCAAGAGGGGCTTCTAGTGATCATCTCCTAGGAGAAGAGAGCCAAGTGGATGTGAGAGTTTGGTCAGAGAGAATAGTCTGTTTGAGTTGAAATTTTCAGAATGAAAAAGTAAACACAGATGTGGTCTCAGGATTGGTTTGCAGAGGTGAATTGGGGCTGAAATCCAAAGAGTGAAGGGTGAAGTGGCTTAGGTCAGAGAGGGATCTCACAGGATGCTGAAGTCTCCAGAGTGACAGCGGGAAGCAAAACCTGGGAGGGAGTGACCAGTGGGTCAGTACGTGACAGGGAGGGCATGGTGGCATCATAGGGGGACAGTCCACTCAGAGAAGGGCAGTTTGTGCCTATGAATGAGAGGTACCATACTGATGGTGACAGCAGACCACTGACCATAGATTTACGCCCTCTCCCTAGGAGAATGCCCTGTGTTCACTGGGAAGCCCTGATAGAGACAGACCTTCAGAACTTCTCAGAGACCAGGAGGTGGTGGGAGGCCTTGTCAAAGATGGAATTGTCCTGTGTTCTGGGAGCCCAGAGAACAAAAGATAAGACAGAGTTAGAAGTGAAAACAGTTTGAAGAGCGTTCAGACTCTAGGAGAAGAGAATTGGACAGAGTGCTTTGCATGTTCAGTGGTGAAGGATGGCAGAGTGAGAGGGAAGGCTTGAATTGGGCTCATGGTCCTGGTGGACTTGACACCAGGTTGGATTGTTACCTGAATGGCTGGCTATAGGATTACAGCATGGAGATTGTTATCTACACTTAGTTTTATGGTGGTTATTATCTCTTCATATAAAATTTTGGCAAAGAAGGAAAGGAAAGTGGCAGAGTCATAGCTGCAGTTTGTTGTAAGATATAAAGATTTTATGGGTAAAGTTTTATCCATAAAAATTTTATGGTTAGAAGGAGCTAATAATATTTATTAAGTGCTATAAATGTAAAAACTACAGTTGATGCTTCGTTCAGGTCAAGAATGATAAGGATGACATTAATTGAATTATGGTGCACTAGGCTATATTCTGAGTTCTTTGGTTTAATATTATCTTCAACCCTATCACTTTATTGTCCCTCCTATGTAGATGAGGAAGGACATAAAGGTTAAGTAAACCTGCCTAAAGTCACCACACTTAAAAATGGTAGAGTCAGGATTAGAATCCAGTCATTCGAATGCAAGGGAGCTTACTCCTAGACCACTATATTATGTGGTCTTTCAGTGTTCAGATGTGGACTCTTCTCAGAGTTCATAATCTCACAGGAGATGCATGAAATGGAAACTGACCACAACTCAGGCATTCAAATACTACCTCCTGCCTACATTTGCAGTACGTTTTTATTAACTTCAGAAAATTAATTTTCTGTTTTGGCATATGCCTGGAAAATAGTCTTAGTTACCTTAAACTGATTGGCTTGCCTTGACTCTCTTCTTTTTCCTTTTATATTTCATAGTTGGTTATTATTGAGAGAACCAGAGAATGCATTCATGTTGACAACTACTCTAGCTTCTTGTAGGCCATTCTCCAAAAATGTATGTGGAAGAGTAAAAAACTCAGGATAATAATGATTGTTTATCTGAGGTGATCTCTGCTGTTACTCTTCTCCATTGTCATGGAGTAGTAGGAGCTGATAGGAAAGTGGGAATCAGATGGCATTTGGAATTTATAAAGCCAAAGACACTAAAATCAGAAAGTTTTTTCTTTGGAGCATTTTTGGGAATATTTTTTACACTAAAATGTGCACTATTTTAGAATGAAAGGCAATGAAAAGCATTCTTATGTATTTAAGAATAAAAAGGTGGTTATAGAACTATGACATGTGATAATTATGAAATGTGCCAATTTGGGTAACTTTAATATATGAAATCACTTACCCACTTTTCCAAGTTAATTAAAAAAATTCAACTTTGATAAAATATTTATAACAATGATCTATAAATGACAAGGGTATGGACATGTATTGAGTTATTTTAAATATCCCTGACAATTTTATATAACAGCCTTTTTGATTTGGTGTATATATGGCACCATGAATGATACCTATATGGAGGAAGATGAATTTAGAATGGATTCTTGGGTATTATAGCTAATACTTTCTTCTACTAGCTGTTACAACTTTAGTTACCTTTAGTAGATATTGGCATGATTATAAGGTGTTTAATTCCATAAGAAGGACATTCAGGTGGACTGGAGCCTTGCTTCTTGTAGTTTCTTTTAGTAAAAGTTAAACATTAAAAAATGTACTTGTGGTTTATGCTTTAGATAGGGAAGGAGCACATTGGTCTGAAGGCTGTGACTGAGATACTCCAGGATATTCAATATAAGGTAAGTCATTATTTTAAAACAAATAGAAATACTGGTTATGTAAAAGGTCCCTGAGATCAGCTCCAGGCTTGATAAATGTCTAGAAGGATTCACAGGACCAGACAGCTGCTGTGCTTAATGGATATAGTTTATTCCAGTGTAAGGTTACAGATCAATAATCAGCAACCTGAGTTTGCATGTCTTCGAATTTTATCAGGGGTTGGTCATGTAAGCACCATGTGCCTGCCTAACTGCCCTTAACGCCTCAAACTCCAGTTCCTCTTTCCCACAACCTAGCAAAACCAGGCATCTCTAAATCACACTGTCAGGATAAGCCTACCGGGCCAAAGTAATACAGCATGCCTGGAGTTCTCAGGCATATGTCAGGTGTTTACTATAAATGCAGCATGACCCAAGGCCTCAGGCTAATGAAAACACTGTTCTTGGATAGAATGTCCCAAGGGCTCAGGGCTGTCTCCCAAGAGCCAGCCAAGGGCTAGTCCTAAAAACAGGTACAGGCTTGAGCAGCCAAGCCTGCTGAGTTAACCCTTTCTGCTGAATCATTATAGAAAATTTGTGTAAATGAAACCAATATAATTTTGGGAACCAGACTAGAGTATTAATACTAATAGTAATGGTAAAAATGTCATAAGATAATAGCTCAGAGAAGGTGATTTAGATCAATATGACTCTCTAATGACCCTGGAAGCCAAGCTCTGTTATAAACAGGAGCCTCTCTGAGTTGAAGCTAAGCAGCTATGGGGAAGGCCATAGTTTAAGTCGTCTGTGGCTGCTGGAGTTACAGAGCAGGAATTGAACTTGCTTGATTGAAGGGGATCAAAAAACCCAAATCCAATTCTAAGATCAAAATGGGAGTCAAGTCTGGTTAACTACATGGGCACAATCCCAGGATACCTTGATCCAGGTAGGGTCTCCACTGAAGATCTCCTGAGTGGGCACAGAATGAACCCAGCTACCAGGGAAGTGTGTATAAAGAGGGTGAGAATACATTTTGAACTGACATTTATCCAGTAGAAATGGGCTGAGAAAATATCTCTCATTTCTTTAGCTAATAGGACATCAATCATGGACTACAGGAGGCTGAGGTGAGACAAGTGGGTTGAAGTCTTTAATATATAAGATAGTTACAGGAATAAAGGAAGGAACTTCTTATGATAACTTTCCCTGTTGCATCTGTGTTAATAGAGTAATCTTATAAGAGAAATCCAACTGGATTGATAGGTCTGTCCCACTCTTAAGACTTGAGCCATGTAAGTGTCACAAGTTAAAATAACAATCCTAAGCATGAAGTATTGAATAAGAACACAGATAGTTCCCTTGAAATTTAAATCCCACTTTGAAAAATGTTAGTTGGACTAGAACATACATGTCTGAGTTTCAGATCTCCCTTTCTGCCTGAAAAGAACATTCAGAATAGATCCTGGAGCTGAATTTCCAAGTGGGACAAAATGACAAATTGGGAGCCAGGTTGTAATGTCAAAGGTTTAGGAGCTGAACTCTAAATAGGCAAGAGGAAAGCCATTTCAAAAGAATACCCTGAGCCAGGGTTCAGGTGTTTTATACCAAGACATGCAGCCTAAGTCTTGGGTATGAATGTTCTAGTAGCAGAAAAAATAGTTTATATGTGGCAGATGAATACCGGTTGTAAATTCCGTGCAAGGAATTATAGAGGAAATTGAACTGTAGTAGCAAAGAAAATAGCCATAGACTCAGAATAGGAGTATCTTGTTGGAACCAATCAATCTTGCTCCAATGAGAAGAGAGTGATACACCTACCAATCTTGGTGAACAAAGAAGCCATTCGGAAAAGATGTTAATCTAGGTTTTTGGCCATATTTTTATTCAAAAATTCAGAAGTTTAACTTTAACATTAACATGGAGTGAATATATTTTTTCTTTTTCAGGGAAAGTCCAAAACAATACCCTGCTTTAATCCCAACACTTTATTGCCAGGTAAATATTTACTTGATGCTAAATAAATTTTAACTATGGATTTAACCACACTATTTTCGTCAGAACATGCATAACTATACATTATTAATTAATAAAGTTTCTTTACAATTTATATTCTCTGTTGCAGGTACCAGTCTCATATTACTCTAAATATGGGAGTAAACCTTTTGAAATAATAAAAAAACACTTTGCCACTAGTTCCATTAATCCATAAGAAATTTGTAAGGATTATCATTTATAAAAATTGCTACTTCTGGGTAAAGAACCAGAAGAATAAATTAACCTGAAGAATAAAATAACCTGATTCAGGGCTGACAGAGTGGCTCAAGTGGTAGAGTGCCTGCCCAGGAAGCATGAGACCCTGAGTTCAAACCTCAGTGGCTCAAAAAAAAAAAAAAAAAGGTTTTGAGGGGGAAAGAAAGAAGAATGATGGGAGGAATGAATTTAACTGTGATGTATTATAAGAACTTTTGTAAATGTCACAATGTACCCCCAGTAAAACAATAATATAAAAAAATTGCTAAAAAAAGCTCCCTGATACTCTTCTAAGATTGATCAGTGAAGTTCTTATTAATGTCTAGAATGAAGTAAATTTTACATTTAATTTCATAATTAATAGCAATATATTATTTAGATATTATTCTAATTGTATTGATGCACAGGTAATAATTGTGCAAAATATACTCATTATAGAACTCGAAGTTCAAGGTGGTTTTAAATAATATTTTGGTCTTAATATTTATCTGACTAAAATATGTGCTATTTTGTAGCGTGTCAAGCAAAATCAAATAGGCTAATGCATTGTATCCTCTATTTTCTACATTTAATTGCTGTACCACAAACCAATTTCTGTCATATTTAAACATTCACTTGTTATATTTAATATTCAGCTCCAATGTAGAGCAAGATGATTGTGTGTGATTGTTTTCTCCTGTCGTACTATGTCTTAATATTTTACTGTTGAAGAAACAATATAGAGGTGGCTAGAATAGAATAGTTAAAAACACAAGCTTTGAAGCAAATTGCATGAGTTCAAATCCTGATCCTGCCAGTTATTAGCTGAGTGGGGAGATTACTAACCACCTGTGATTTGGCTTCCTCAGCTGAAAAATGGGGTAGTAATAGCCTCAGTCTCATGGGTGAATCAAGGTATAAATAAGCGAGGAATAATGGTCAGATCGGTAACTGGCATGCAGTTCAGTGGCTATTAGGTAAGTCAGATAAATCCTTTAAACATGAATATGTTTTTCTAAATCAATTAAACTCGATAGAAATATATAGTAATCCACTGATAGAAACCATTGTAAATCTCCACAATGATTAGTTTAAGAGTATGCGTAAGCTTCTAACTTAAAAACGATATTCATCAGAAGTCTCATCTGGCCAATGTGTAATTTGGGAAGTTATTATTGGGGTCTTCAGTGTTATTAACCTGCCTTTTTATCACCTCTCCATGTGTTTGCATAGACCCTCTGCTACGGGATTACTGGGTTTATGAAGGGTCTCTTACGATCCCACCTTGCAGTGAGGGTGTTACCTGGATATTATTCCGATACCCTTTAACTATATCCCAGCTCCAGGTGAGTACACTCTTAAATCTTTCAGAGTGAAGTTCCGAGTTAAAGGTTAAATGTTGTTTCTGTAAAAGGAAAAAAGTTCTGTTTTCTGTTTTAGCTCCCTTTAGATCAGTTATACCTTTTCAGATGAAAGTTAAATGTCCCAAGCGAGTGAAAGCAATAGAAAAGTCAAGGATGAACAAATCTTAGCACTCGTTTATGATCTGTATTTTAAAAGTTAGTTTTTAGGGAGTAAACAAAAGTAACTAAAAGAGCCAAACTTTTGATTAGTCCGTTATTCTTTTATGTGGGTTTCCCCAGTGTGAAGAGGAGAAAGGCCTGGAAATAAAGTGAACATGCTGATTATTTCTGTAGGTCACATGTGGACTTTGTGACAGTTTTTCCTGGCCATGTACAGGCACATTTTGCATGTGAAGAGGCAAGGAAGCTAGAAAGAGTGCCCTGCAGAGTTTTGGGTTGCTCACTGGCTTTATTTTTGTCGTCCACCTGGAGTGTGGACTCTGCATAGGAGCTGTAGGTGCTGTAAATGTTAGTGTAAGCTGACTGGGGTGGCCCGTACCTGTAGTTCCAGCTATTTAGTGAGGCAGGAGGATTGCTTGAGCTCAGGAGTTCCAGACCAGCCTAGACAATATAGCAAGATGCTGTCTCAAAAAATGCTAATGAGCAGGGGATGTAACACATGAGTGGATTGTCAATGGAAGGTTAGGCGGTAGAACATGAGGTGACATCACTGTAAGGCACTTAAGGATATACAGCTCAGTGGTGGAGCACTTGCCTAGCATGTGTGAGGCCCTGGATTCCATCCTCAGGACCCCACACAAAAAAGAATAAACAGTGATTTTGATATCATTACAAAGAGGTGCTTTATTTAAAAAAATTTTCTACAGGTATCGTTTTTGCATTTACTACATGTGTATGCATTATTTGCACCATATTCATCCCCCACCATCTCAGGCAGAACCTGTTTCACCCTCCTGTTCTTTGATTTTGTAGAAGAAAATACATAAAAGATAATAACAAAAGCATGGCATTTTTGCTAAGGAGAGTACAGAAGTTTGAAATTTCAGTCTACTATTAAGAATAGAGGCTTGGATGAATTATGTGTAGATCTGAGTAAAGATAGTAGCTGCTCTGGTAGATAAATCACAAATTTTGTTGATTTACAATATTTATCTGTTTCATAGTAACATAAAATCCAATTTATGTGTTTCTGATTCATAGTGAAGGCTTTTTTGCTGTACAGTCATTCAAAGATCAGATTGAAAGAAGCTTTTCCATCTTTTATGTCTTTTTTCCAGATTTGACCTTGGAGGGGGCACAAGGCCAGTAGGAAGGGAAGAATGCAAAGGATCTCAAAAGGAATTTTTCAACCACTAGACCTAGAAATGGCATATACCACTTACGTTTACTTTCTATTGGCTAGAACTAGTCACATGACCACATCTACCTGCAGTGGGAGGTTGGGAATTACATTTTAACTCCATGTTCAAGAAGAAGGAAAACTAATTCAGTTAGCTAAGATCAGCTAGTAACTGCTGTCACTGCATCTCCACCTGTGCTAGCTGGGTATTAGTTGATGTTGCCAGGAGGGGAAAAGCACCTACAAAGTCACAGAGTCAGGAGAAGCCATGCATTTGGTGTGAAAGGCCTGTCATATGACATGAGCTCCAGGAGGGAGCAGACTCCTGACTTTTGTCATTGATTCTGGTGCTGCTTGGTGCTGTGCTGTGAAGGGGGCTTTCTCCTAAAGATAGCAAAAAATCATTAGAATACTGTAAGGAGAGAGACATGACCAGATTTCAATTTGAGAGTGGTCTCTAGTTTCAGTGTAAAGATATGGGTCTGAGATAAGGCTGTGAAAGTGACATGAAGGGATGGGAATAACTAGAAATAACTAGGAAGTAGAATTGGAACTTGGTGATGACATAAGAGGGACTTAGGAAAGACCCCTGTGCTACACCCTGGATTTGGCTTGGGTGACTGGTGAGTATTAGATGTCATTCTTTACCATGATGGGGAATCAAGAGTGGGCTTTATGGAAGATAATGAGTTCATGGTTGCAGACATCTGAGAAAGGGGTACCATGTAGAGGCAGTGGGTGAAACCCTAAGTGTAGAAGAAGAGAAATGAGAGGTGATCCCAAGGACTGGGGTGTGTGTGACAGCTAACTAGGGGCCTACACTGTAGGTGTCCCTAGGGAATGGTTTGAGACATAGGAACGTCAGGTGGTGATGGGATGTCTAGACCCAAGGGAGAAGCAGGTTTCAAGAAGGAATGAGAAGAGCGATCATGAGTGTTAGAATCTGCACACATATTCAGTTAAGGACTGAAAAATATGAATTAGATTTAGCCACAAGAAGAGGTCTTAGACTCGAAATAACAGAAGAGCTGAAGAGCATTACTTTGTGGAGGGGCAAAGTTTTTAAAGTAGGTAAAATATTTTAGTGAAGAGTAAAATTTTTCTCTGTAACCAAAAATTTCAATTTACTAAAAATCAATTTGTTTTAAACTTGTTGAGTCACAGTTCTCCATTCACATAGTGTTCCCTGAAGGACTCTTGGAACATGGTATTGGGAATATTAATGTCGAATTCACCTGGGAATGTTAACTGATGTACTGTAGACATGATATAATGCTCTGCTACCATGTTGACCAGTGTGCTATGTTAGTATAGAGATAGACTCATTGCCCCTTTGGGCCTCTCTGGCTTCAAAGGGATCCTGGCTTTGTGTGTGTTGTCCCTCTGAGTAAGACCAGTGACCAAGTCCAGTACTAACTTACTGAGTCATGCTCCTTGATTATTAAGAGATAAGCCATATCTTCCCTAAGGACAGCCAAAGCCAAAGGGATACGTATCAGCAGGAAAAATCTCAGTTGCCTTTGAAAATGGATGACCTCCCAATCAGCTATAATCTTTCTAGAAAAAAGACTTTGGTGCTATCAGCACATCAGCCATTGCTACCTCTCTCCAGAGGGCCACAGTGTTAAATGCAGACACACATACATATAAAGACACACATTCATGTAAATTAAAATGCAATTAGTGTGAGTTTGAAAAATTATGATCTTAAGAGAGTATAATCAGCCTGTCATCAACTCAACATTTGGTGCTGCTCATATAATTTCAGAGAAAGCAGAACAAAAACGCAAGAGGTTCAGTAGTAAAAATGAGAAGCCATAAAGGGAGAGGCTGGGATTCTAGATCTATACCAAGAGAAACTGAGAAGGCACATACTATTGCACTTAAAAGGGAGAGGAGAGAGAGAGAGAGAGAGAGAGAGAGAGAGAGAGAGAGAGAGAGAACACAAACTGATATATAAAACAATAAAAATAGTAGTGAATGGCAGGTAGAGTCTCTACATACATAGCTGAACAAGTTGAAAATATATAAAACTGCACTGAATTAAAAAAACTTTTCCTCCTATATCATATGGTTAGCATGCATATATAATTAAGCTGCGGAGCACACTGTTTTTGGTAATACTGGGGTTTTGAACTTAGGGCCTCACTCTTATTAGGCAGGCACTCTGTAACTTGAGTCACGCCCAAGCCCTTTTTTGCTTTGTTATGTTTCAGATAAGGTCTCATGTTTTTGCCTGAGCCAGCTTGGACTGTGATCCTCCTATTTAGGTTTCCTGTGTAGCTAGAATGGCAGGTATGCACCATTATACCTTGCTTATTGGTTGAGATGTAGTCTCATGACCTTTTTTGCCTGGACTGGCCTTGAACCATGATCCACCTGATCTCTGTGTCTGGAGTAGCTGGCATTACTACTGTGAGCCACTATGCCTGACCCTGTTGCTGGACATTCTTATGGAAGCTCTGATATCTATGCATCATCTGGATGCATAGGATGGTAGTGTCTGTCTACACTAGCACCATTGAAGAAAATGCCCTATATCATAATATATTAAATGTGTAGCAGCTTGGATTTAAGGAGAATAGACTTCTGTTGTAATGTAGCGTTGACAATTAAGCCCATAGGGGACTACTGCCTGCATGCTGAGAATTCTAGAATAGGGGACTGAAAGCCCCTGCTTAGTTGAATTTTTTGTATTGTTCCTGGCCAGCATATCATATGCTAGAGTGAAAAAGACAATTGGATGTTTGCTTGCCCTTCCACCTTCTGCCATGTGAAGACACTGCCACATGCCAGCCCCTTGCTCTTAGAAGTCCCAGCCTTCAGAATTGTGAGAAAATAGATTTCTGTTCTTTATGAATTACCCAGTCTCAGTATTCTATTACAGCAACTTAAAAATATATCCAAAATACTATCGGTGCAACATGTAGTCAATATAAAATCTCATTGATGACACTGTCTTACAATCTTACTTTCACGTGTTTGGCTTTCCATTTGTGTTCAGTACTTCATCACATCTTGGTCGACTTAGTAGACTAAGTGCTCGGTGGCCACATGGAGCTGGTGGCTGTAGCATTGGAGAGCACAATGTGAGCATTTTCTCTCTTCAGAGATTCCTTCTTCCCTTTCTTTATTTTCTGTATTTATTTTGGCAGTACTGGGGTTTGAACTGAGGTCCTCACACTTGCTGGGCAGGCACTGTACTACTTGAGCCACTCTGCCAGCCCTGTTTTTGTGTTTGGTATTTTCAAGGTAGGGTCTTGCAAACTCTTTTCCCATGGCTTCAAACTGCAATCCTTCTAATCTCTGCCTCCTGAGTAGCTAAGATTACAGGCATGAGCCACTGGCATCCAGCAGCCTCCTTCCCGTTCTTAAGATGTGTTATTTTTAGGTAGTTGTGGAACTTTCTGTACATACTTTCTGAGTGTCTTCAGTGATAAGCAGTGCTTCCCTGGTGATCATGTACTGTTACCTGTAATTCTGGAGTGAGCTTTGGTCTGTGGGTTTATCAGTAGGGATGATGAGGGAAGACAGCTGAGGCCAGGGCTGCTTTAGGTTGATGATGGGAATAAGAGGAGAAAGCTGACATCAGTGTTACTGGGGAGAGGAGTTCCTCTTTTCTGGGCTGTTCCTCAAGAAAAGAAAATGATCAGATTAAGGAGTCAGTAACAGAGTGAGAGTTGTTTATGGATAAGAAGCCAGTAAGAAAGAGGGAACAATAATTTGAGATGCTTAAGATAATTAAGTAGAAGAAAATGAAACAAAAGGTTGCAGTACATGAAAGGCAGGGAGCCATTTCTATTTGTCTATTTCTCTGTATTTCTTACTGTATATGCATATATACAGACTGTTTAAACACAACTTGGTTTAGATTCTTTTATTTAATTACTAGCATGTCTTAGTATATTTTGTGCTGCTATAACATAATATCACTTTCCGTTACTGTAATAAGTATCTGAGATAAATCAATTTAGTCAGAGAAAAGAGTTCACATTTTGGAGATTTCTTTCCATGACCATTTGGCCCTACTGCTTTGGGTTTGTTGCAAGGCAGCACGTGATAGCAGGAAGCACATGGTAGAGCCAACTATTCATCCCAGAGTTGAGACAGGAAAGAAGAAAGAAGAGATTGGCAGAGTCTGGCATCCCACATCCCCTTTGAGGGCATGCCCCGATGATCTAAAACCTTCCATTGGGCTCCATCTCTTAAAGATTCCACTATCTTCCAATAGCACTACAGGCTGGTGACCAAGCCTTCAGCACTGGGTATTTGGGGGACATTGCAGATCTAAACTTTAGCAATCATAGGTTAGATGGTTTGTAATGAACAGAAATTTATTTAGCTCACAATTCTGGAGTCTGGGAAGTACGAAAGCATGGCACCATCATCTGACTGCATCAGCCCATGTTTAGAAGGTGGAAGGGCAAGAGAGAAAGAGTTGTCTTATAACACACCCACTCACAATAGCTTACTCATTCCTACAATGTTAATTCATTCATGTGGTCAGAGCCCACATGACCTAATGACCTCTTGTTAGACTCTTTCTCCCCACACTGTCACACTGGAAATTTTCAAACATATGAGCTGTGGGGTACACATTCAAACCACAGCTATATAATTCAAGGAATTATATTATTCTAACTCATTTGTTGTCATTGGTAATAAAAGAAGTTGAGAGCACTCTCCTTTTTAAAAAACATTCTATTGAGAGATTAATTAGTATATGAAAAGCTATACATATTAAATATAAGTCTGTATACAAATATATACATCTTTTAAGGATAAGTGTACACCTGTGAAACCATTGCTCCTGCCAAGACCAAAAACACATTTATCACTTCTCAAAGTTTCCTCCTACACTCTTTATTCTTCCTATACTTATTTTTAATAATAATTATTATTATTTTATTTTGGTAAGAACACTTACATAAGATCGGTTCCCTGAGTACTTTTAAATGTACAACACAGTACTGTTAGCTATGAGTAACATGCTATAAACTACATCTCCAGAACCTGCTTATCTTGCATAACTGCAACTTAGTACTTTTAACCATCTCCTCCCCTTTTATACCTCTCCCCTTTTATAGCTCCTGGAAACTCAATTTGCCCTCTGCTTCTATGAGTTTGGCTATTTTAGATTCAGATATAAGTGTGATCATATAGTATTTGTCTGGCTTATTTCTACTTCTTGATAGAAGACCAAAGGAATTGAAGTTACTACCTTGGAGAGGTTTCTGCACTCCTGCATTCACTCACAGCCAAGGCAGGGAAACACCTAAGTGTTCACAGATGTATTCTGCATTATATTTACCTTTTAACATAATGATGGCCTTAGGAACTTGAGAAGATCTATAAATTAATTTGTACCAAACTACAAACTCTGGAAATTAGCCCTTTTGTACCCATAAAGAAAAGCAGTTTTAAAGCTGAACTTTAGTGAATAATCTGATTTGTGGGTCAGTGCAGATTGAATAAATGACTTGGATCAGTTGGAGTGTATCTGTTTCAGAGAACAGTGGCTATTCGATCTAATACCTTCAGAAAACAAAGACTCTCCCTGGAGTGCTGAGTCTCTTTCCAGTATTTCCTTCCTTCCTTTCTTCCTTCCTTCTTCCCTCTTCCTTCCTTCCTTCCTTCCTCCCTCCCTCCCTCCCTCCCTTCCTCTCTTTCTATATAATGCTATATATGTATATAATATTACTGTTAACTATGTATCTATTTAGATTTCTAGTACAGCCATGTCTTCCTCTCTTAAATAGGTTAAAAACAAATACAAAAATATCTAACTACAGTAGCCTTAAAAATCTATGCAACCACACATTTAGATACATGTGATAATGTTGGTCTCTCTAATGCCCTGACATTTGAGTTTGTTGAAGACTTTTGTCCTGAAATATTACTGTGTTCATTCATCACAGTCTCTCATTTCAGGGTGGGCTGATTCACTATGCACTTGAAACCATTTGAAGTGATTAAACAGTTTTGAGGGGTGGTTATTTCAGAAAAAATGGCATTTCAGAAAGACACATTTTTCCCTCAATCTCTGTTGATATTTGAAATCTTCAAAGTGTTACTGTGATGAGAGAAAAACATTTCTGTGAAATGGTTTTCTCCAAGAGTGCAGTGATTGGACGCTAGCTGTTGATTCAGATCGCCTCTTCTAAAGAAGCTGTTTCCGGAGAATGTGCTTCAGGCAGAGGCCTGGGGCTTGAAGTGTGTATCTTCAGTTCAGTGTACATAAATATAAAATCAACCTGTTTTTCAGATAAACTTCAAAGTCAATAAAAATGGAATAGTTTTTAAAATGTATTTAGGCAGTTAGGTAGGTTTCTGCCCACATTGTCAATCAACAACCCTGCCCATGGTTCATGGATTCTCACTACAGGAACAATATACTTATGTGTGAAATAAATGCTATGAGAGATGAATTTAAATTTTCTCAGCAAACTGGTTTATCATCAATTGTAGCTAAGTATTTATCTCAAAATACTAAAGGTTTGACTTCAAAGGAAGCTGTACAATAAAAAAGCTGCAATTTATGGAGCACTTCCTATGTGCCTGGAACTATGCTAAGTGATATTCATGAGTTTTCTCCTTATGTCATTATTGTGAATGTTGTAATCATCATCTGTGTTGTACAGATGTGGAAACTGAGGCTTAAATGTCATTTGGTTACTTGAGTCATGGGTGGCAGAACCAGGACAAGAACCAGCATTTGGATTCAAAGCTTATACCCTCACCATGATATTCTTCTTTTTGGAATAGCATGGGATGCTATGGCTGACCAGATTCCTTTCTACTCCATACTTAGGGAACACTTTAAAGTGAAAGTAAATAATGACGGGATTCTCATGAAGCCTTGGTTCTACAATTTTTCCAGTTGCACAAGCAGTAGATGCCACCCCCATCCCCACTCTGACCCTAAAAAAGTCCAGTGAAAAACCACTATGCAGATGAAATAGCTCACTGCTTATCTGACTGGCACTGTATAAATACAGCATGTAGGCATTACAAAAAAACTAAACAAACAGGACAATTCCAGTTGGGTCAGACTTACCTCACTTAGGGAAATTAATCAGTATTTGAAGATATGGAAAATAAAACATTAGAAGTCAACTTTTTAATCAGGCTTCTCATCTAACAAGCATTTAATTTTCCCCCAGCTCTGTGTCCTAACATGTGTGTGAGAGGATTGAATTAGAATCTTGTGGGATTCAACTCTTTTGGAGTCAGGGATCCTCATCTTACCAAAACACACATGTACAATTTTGCTTACCATTCAGGGATTTCATGGTTCCTTGAAAGTTTAGATTTTTATTAGAATCCTTGAATTACTTGATCTACATTTCCTTTCTCTTTGTGAGGGGCAGAATTCTTTGGTTATGTTGTATTAAGGAAATTTGTGGATATAATCTTTTTTTTTTTTTTTTTTTTTGTGGTGCTACGGATTGAGCCCAGGGCCTTGTACATGCTAGGCAAGCACTCTGCAACTGAGCCATATCCCCAGCCCTACATGTAATCTTTTGGTACATGGATAGTGAACTTTTGGTGAATTAATGGTATTCAAATCACATTGCCCAATACCCTGGGGTATATGCAGGATGTAAGGTATATTAATTTGACTAGAACTTCTAACGAGATAGCTGTGGAACTGGGAAAATAGGAATTGTCAGATTTCTACCCCCACCTAATTTGGTGCCTCAGTTCCTCACCAAAAAAGGAAGATGAACTCAAAAGTTACTATTGTTATTCTTTTGATTTATGTTCTTCAATGAGCTAGATGAGAGGCAAAGAAAGTATTTTGATGAAGAAACCTCTAGTTCAGCTGACAAATCTAACATCTAATCAGTGCTAATGTACAGTGACATCAGAATATGCTAATTAGAAACCTACCAGGAAGCATTTAAGAACATTTACTTATTTGTTCATTCTTTCTCTTTGTATTATAGACAGGAACAAAGCTTTTTTGTGAGAGATGTGTATATCATTTTCATGCTAACAAATCCAGCAGGTTTCTGTGGCTACTGGAGTTGTCTGCATATTTTGATCCCTAATTCTGTTGTCTTCTCTTAAAAGGGTCTCTTCTAATGCCTTACTTAGGTCTGAAACAGGTCTGGTTTTCTCTTTGAAGTTGAATTTCAAATTTCTTTTTTATTATGTAATTTATGTGTATGTTAAGTCATTTATAAAACACCAATCTTGTTAATATCTAGCAAATGATTAATCTATTTTGGTTTGCTTTTATTTTCAGATAGAAGAATTTCGAAGGCTGAGGACACATGTTAAGGGGGCAGAACTTGTGGAAGGCTGTGATGGGATTTTGGGAGACAACTTTCGACCCACTCAGCCACTCAGTGACAGAGTTATTAGAGCTGCATTTCAGTAGCCAGAGAGAACAGGAACAAGCCCATCTCTATCAGGGTATGTGCAGATTAAGTGAGGAAAACGAGGTGCACATTACCGAAACCTAGCGTCCCAAAGTCACTCTATGGTTAGCTTGCTAATTTAGCAATAGAACAAGTGTACTTCATTTCAACAAATTTATGGCAACTTCTCAAGCCCCAGTAATGACAAGTCAGATGATCATTTTGATTTTGCTCCCACTAGAGCAGCCTTTAATTTAAAGTTTTGCTTTAGTATTGGCTTTCATAAAGAAAGGCACATGAGGCTGAGAAACAGGGATTTGCAAGGACCTCCTTAGTAATTCATCTTGTTGCTCTGAAGCTTCAGCAGTCACCCCCCAGTGGCCAAAGAACACGATGGAAGGGGCTAGAAGAGCTTGTGTCCTCCACGTTGAGCCTCTTGTCTGATGCAGATCTGATCATCTTGTTAATTGGGATATATCAGGTGGATCTGGCATGAATTGAAATACTTGTCCTATGGAAGTGTTTTTTTTATTACTATACATTAATTGTATAAAACAATGGGTTTCATTGTGACATTTTGTAACATGCATATAATGTTCTTTGATCATATCCACTCCATTTGTTACCCTCTCTTGTCCCCCGTTCTTCCTCCTAGAAGTGCTTTTTATTTGATAGATCAAGAAGCACTTATTAACTATCTGAATAGGGTACATTACTTTACTGATTGGAACATAATCTATACACTTTAATATATTGAATTCTGTGTATGTATTCTTTACCCTTAAGCAATTAACAAAATAAAACATCAAAAACATGGAAAAGGTGAATATACAAAGATGACTATCAGTGGATTCTTTCTTTACCTTGTAAGTAGCATAAGTGTGCATAGGGCAGGGTGCACTGCAGCAAACTGCCTCTTCCTTCAAAGGGGAATGCTGTTGAATGGTGCGTGGGAAGCTTGACAGAACTGTGACTGCCTGATGGACTCTGGAGAGCATGGTGTAGTGTGAGTGGTACTATGGCCTGGGGAGTCAGAGATGAATAGAAATCTGTGGCCCCAAGGAGCTTGCAGTCTCATGAGCTAGACAGCAGACATGGAAATTTCAACAGGTGGGCATTTCATCCCAGTGTTTCCCAACTTATTTTTCTTGTCTCTTTATTATTATTGCATAGCACTCCACCAAAATTGTCTTTTACCTTCTGGGAATGTTCTCTGCTCACCTCAAACTGCCCAGCCTTCCTTTTGCTTAGTGAAATCCTCGCTATCATAAGGCCCAGCTCAAATACTGCTCTCACCAGGGATCCTCTACTTCTCTCTCATCTCTCTTAAATTATACCTTGTTTCATATTCTTTCTTCCACTTAGCTTCTCAAGCATTGAAATGTGTTTATTTTACTATAACCCCATAATAACATATCACATGTGATACCTTGTATGACTTTAGGCAAATTAGAAGTTCCTTGGAACCACACACATTGCATATCAGTCAGTCTCATTTCTGTTCTGTTTTGAGTTTAGCCAGTGTAGTTCATCTCCTCATTCTTCTAATTTTGGAAACCATGAGGATCAGGAAAATTCACCTTTGATAGTAATGAGAAGAAAATTTCAGTAACTTATATATGGTAACAGGGGAGAAAATCCAAGAGTGTTTTAGGCTAAACCTTAGAATGGATGAGTGAAAGAACTAAGATGATGTTCAATAAAAAATTATTGAGTACCTACTATCAAATTGGTTTTGGACGTATAGAGGTAAGGACACATGGTCTTTGCCCTCACAAAGCATGGGGTTTGAGGTGGGGAGACTGACAGTAGAGCAATAAGCATTCAAAAATATAAAATTAATTTTGAAATTATTGTTGTGCTGAGGTACATTGTTATAAAATTGTTAATGACAAAAATTCCATGAATGAGAAGAACAAAGCAATATGGGGAAGGAGCTTTCAGGGAGAGGAAATACCTTTTTGCAAAGGCCCTGGGGATGGTGCTCCCTGTGGAGGGGGAAGAATTTGATTCATTGAAGTACCTGAAAAAAAAACATGGTGAGTATGGAGTATAGAAATTAATCAAAGGAGAGAAGTAGAGGAGACCCCTATCTCACAGGTCTGTCAGTCATGCTAAGGTGTCTATTTCAGTATGGATGCACAATGAATCTATAGGGACTTTTACTCAAGAGAGTGACTTGGTCCCATGTATATTTTTAATTGCTTGCCCTAAAAAGAGAATGAATGATTGGATTACAGTGGGCCAGGTGTGAGTAGAAAAATATTTTAGAAGTCTATTTTGCAGGCACATTGATAGATATGGAGCAGTGTTGATGAAGAGAAGGTAAAGTATAGGAACTGGAATTGCAGGTGGTATCTAGTGATGAGCTGAGAGAGGATGGGGGAGATGGAAATGTCAAAGATAACTGCTGAGGTCTGGAGCTTGAGAACCCATTGGTAAAATGGCATTGAGTGACAGTGGGAATGCTGGGGAGAGGCCCTGCTGGGGGTAGAAAGGTAAAGAGCTGATTTGGTGCACACTGAGATAGAGATGCTGCCCACAATAGTGGGTCTGTCATGGAAGTTGTCGGAATTTTGGGAATGGAGATGAGAAAAGTGGTCTGGGCTGAAATAAGTATTTGCTGTAGAGACATATGGATATATGGGTATGTATATAGAACATTATAATGATCTGGAGGGATTACCACATTAAGTGCTTACAAAATTTTACATGGGGCTCTAACCAAAGTAGTGTAGTACTTTTTTTGTGGTGGAGGGCCTTGGGCATGCTAAGCAAAGGCTCTACCATTGAGCTACATCCTCAGCCAGTAGTGCAGTTCTTGGGCATCGAAGCAGGAAATCTGACACACGTGGCTTGACCTGGCAGAGGCCTTTTTCTTAACCACTTCCTGGGCAGAGGTCAGAGAGCGTTGAACAGGAAGTGCATACTGCACCAGGCTGTAGGGGAGTAGAAGGGTTGTGCTGGAGACAGCATATCCTGGACACACTTACTTTTTTCTCTTGGCAGTACTGGGGTTTCAACTCAAGGGCTTCATACTTGCTGGTAGGTGGTCTATGACTTGAGTCCTGGCCCCTGCCCTTTTTGCTTTATTTATGTTTTGAGTGGGGTCTATTTTTCCTGGGGCCAGCCTCATACCTTAATTCTCCTACCTATGACTGCCAGGTAGCTGGGATAACAAGTCTGCTCCACCATGTCAGGCTTATTTGTTGAGATGGGGGTTCTTAATAACTTTTTGCCTGATCTACCCTGGAACTATGATACCCCTGACCTTCACCTCCTTTTTAATTTTTAAAAATTTTTTTGTGGGGATCAGGCTTGAACTCAGGACTTAATGCTTGTGTAGCGGGCTGTCTACTGCTGAGCCACACCTCCAGCCCATTTTTCTCTGGTTATTTTGAAGATAAGAGTCTTGTGAACTATTTCCCCAGACTGGCCTCAAACCATGATTCTTCTGATCTCAGCTGTTTACAGGTGTGAGCCACTGGTGCTTTTTTCACCCCCCCCCCCCCGGCCAGGGAGTTTAATTTTATAAAGGACTACCAAATAGTTTTTCCAAGCAGTGGCAACGCATGAGAAATGTATGAGAGTTCTAGTTCCTCCACATCATCATCAATATTTGGTAGTCAGTCTTTTCAAAAAATAATTTTTAATGTATATTAGTTGTGTAAATTAATGGGATTCACTGTGATATTTCCTTATATGCATACATTATGCGTTAATCATGATAAACTGGGCTGGTAGAGTAGAAGCTACCACCAGAAAGGGCATGGGATTGAGTTGAAGGATATGTCTATATTATCATTATTATCGTAATCACCATTGTTTTGAAGCAAAAGAAATACCAGAACTTTTCTATTCACAATAGAGAAGGAGCATGTATCCGGCGAGCAGCTGTTCTGTGGAGGGGCTAACCCTAGCAGTTGAGAGGGTGAAATCCTGAGCACACGTGGAAAGTGACTTGTTAAGAGGACATACACTTTCTGGGCTGCAGCTGGAAGGAAGAAGGAAGAGGTGGTTTATGGATTGAATGTGTCCAGGACTTGTTTTTGTTTCTTAACAAGGAACGGGAGAGTAGCCAGGAGAGGTGAGAGAGGCAGGGGGGATAGAAGTAGGAGCAGAGTGAAGGGGAAGGAGGAGCCATAAGAGAGGCCCAGTAAGAGGCAGACTGTGCTGGGTGGCTTGGTGAACTTGAATTTGTCAGTTTCTCCAGTCTATGGTTAATATTCTTGCTGTGAATATCATTAACTACAAATGACACTTTTAATGAAATGAGGTTATTGCCTTGACTGTTTGATCCATATCTGGTCCTAGACCAGGGTTACCTCTGTGTAAATATTGAAATAACCATCACTATTTTCCCTGTCTCTTTCACACATACCCCAAAATGGTTTTTTTGAGATTATGCATATTTCAGATTCTTCATTTTATCATAGAAGAATAGTGTTTACTTTTTCAGTGTATTTAATTAATTATAACTTAGGTATTATAAAGAGGAGGAAGAGTTTATATTCTGATTTTATAGACTGAGATTATTTAAAGGGGGCAGTTTCCTCCCCAAATTCCTAAGAATGACACAGGAATTCCTTTTAAGGTGACTGCAATTCTGATTCATCCTTTTATGAGTACATTTTTTATCCTTTTATCTTAAAATGTGTAATACAAATCTAGTCATAGTTCTACATAAAAATTATATTGGGAAATCAGACTTATGGATGTGTGCTTTTTATTTGATATTTAATAATGCCCTAAGGCAGGTAATTCAGATTTTTATTAAAGTGAAATGATTTGACAGACTGTGAATTTAATGCATCAATGTTTCATTTAAGCTCTTGGAACTAAAAAGGAAAAAAAATTCCATGGTAGTTAGTTGTTCTCTAAAAAAATGTTTAAAATAATGCAGATTTATTTTAGCTGAAATAACTTTAGTTTTTGGATTTAAAAATGACAGTTTTTTTTTTTTTCATTGCATGACAGGTCTGGAAATCTGGAGGGCTTTGATAACCAAGATTTATTATTCCCATGAATAATCTGAGACTTTTTATATTACCATTTAAGAAATATGAACTATGATTTTGTACTTGTTCGAAGAAATTAGCATGTAACCCACCAAAGTGCCAGGAATTCTTCAGTTCAGCAATGGTAGTTTAGATTTCAGGGAGTCAGTTGCTATTCAGGAGTGCTTTACTGATGGATTTTCTTTTTGCAGTTGCTTGAACTCAGAGCCTACCCCTTGAGACACTCCACCAGCCCTTCTTCTGTGATGGGAGTTTTTGAGATAGGGTTTCGTGAACTATTCTCCAGGCTGGCTTTGCATCTCGATCCTCCTGATCTCTGCCTCCTGAGTCACTAGGATGACAGGTGTGAGCCTCTGGTGCCTGGTTGGTTAAATTTTTTTATAAGATCAGAAGAACCAAATCTTAATAACAACCAATAATAGTAAAACCAAGCTATAGGCACAGTTTGCATATTATTTGTGGTATTATAATATTGGTACTAGTCTTCTGACAAAATGATTATTTGTCTGCTTATTTCATTAAGTCTAGCTCATTTTAAAGGCTCTTCTGACTATCTCACCCATAATTCAAATATTGTTTATAGTAACTGTAATGAATCATTTGTTTTTCATAAAAGCCAATGCCACAAGATTTCCCAAACAGATTAGGAGAAAAAAAAAAAAAAAGCAGAAGGGAAGAAAAGGAATCATTCAACAAGTGTCTCTGTATAGTCCCTTTGTGAAAATTGCCCTCATTTTCCTTTCTGAGTCTTTAAAGTCATCCTAAACTATGTTGAAC